GTGTTTCTTAGACATGTGTATTATGGAGACTAGCAAGCATGGTAACCCAAGGTGCCCACCAGACAACCTTAACAAGCCTTCTGTTAGGTGTGTGGGCCCGTACATCACGGAAGAAGATTGTAAAAAGCACCACGGCCGCTGGACTAAATTTATCACTAACTACCTGGAAAAAACTGGGGGAGTACTAAGCACCTGCCACGGTGAAGGCAATGAGAAACTGTCTAGAGGTGTGCCCTATGAAGCACACAAGATTTCACAAGGATCTGATAATCCTAACCAGTTTGTCCTCCTTCACGAGCCCCCCGAAGTGATTTACGCCCCATCCACGGTCGTTAATCATAACGGAATTAGCTCAAATGGCAAGTTTTCGTCCTACAAATGGAAAGTTCCTTGTTTCCCAACCAACATAACTCAACGTTGTGTGCTACGAATAAGGTGAGACGTTGTAAAGCAAGGAAAGATGAGGCCATCTATAACTCATTCAGCAGACAGGAAATTAAGTAAGATGGATTCCACTTATTTTAAGTTATTTCAGCAGTGGTTCACTCGCATGTCAGGTTAGCAATGCAGACATTTTTCATAAGAGTGAAGCTTGTTCCAGGTTTCGAATAAGTAAAATAAAGCCTAACCATGACTATAAAACAGCGCAATAATATCGGCGGAGAGAAAAAAAAGATCGGGACAACCTCCCTCCCTTTACCTAGAGACAGTGGCAAGAAGCTCAAGAGACGAAATCGCAATGAAGCTGCCTCACTAAATAACAGGCAAAATTCTTGGTTACCAGGTAACTGACTAAAGGAAGCTAGTCTGTTACCGATACTTCACAAGAAGACACAGTTGTGACACACAAGAAAGGTAGACACGAGATTATTGCTGCACATTTATAATTGTATTTTTAATATCTGCAGGTACAACATTACCTCCGATGACGTACCCCGCGAGTTTAATGCCAAAAACAATGGACAGTAAGTATAAGACAGAACTGAGATCTGCTCCGTGTTTTAGATGAGACTAGGTAGAACTTTTCACTACTCCAAACTGACAATTCATGCGTACAAATGCAAGTCTATATGTTGACTCGAATAAAATGAAGTTTGCCACTCAGTGTGCTCTGCATAAAGGGAACTATTGAAATATTCATCGGAAATAACCAAACCCTACTCAATAGAATTCCAACTTCAAGATGATAACGAGAAAATTTAAAATAAATCGCTTGCTTTGTTATGAAAATTTCATCATCATGAGTTTTGTTTACAGAGTCAAGAATAACCCCAAGACTAAAGCTGTTGACGGAAAAACGGATCTTCAACTCGCTTTGAACACTGCACAAGTTGGCCGAACATTTCAGGACAGAAGTCATGTTTTCATTCTTAAAGCCAGAAATAAAATGGAAAAGGAACATCAACATCGCAACATATATTACATTTTCGGAATGGGAAAGAGAGGGAACATTGTGCAGGCCTACCCAGCCATGGAGTATCGTTTCTTCCCCGAACGAAAGACAGTGACAACAGAAGATGTGGTGTGCTTTGTGTGGTCTGGTAGGAAGAAAGCCTGTCTTTTCCGTGTAGAATTACATTTTGATTTGGTGCCACAAATTTGAGGAAAGTTGCTGTAACGCTGATTGATTTTAACATAGGATTAGGTTCTACAATCTCTGAGTTTTCCTAATAACAGTTAGCATTTTCGACATGTAATTTAAATTTCTTTTGACTTACCTCCACGATCGCAAGTCAGTTTTTTAACAGCATTCCTTCATTTTTCATAGGTTCAAACAACAATCCTCGTGGAAACGCTGGTAATGGACAGGCAGGTAAGAATCTCATTCTTCGAAAATAAAGAAACAGTAGTCCCCAACGCTGCATGTTTTGTGGGAAGTTTTTCAAATTAGAAGTTCGGATGATGCCACAATACCGTGGCGTTAAGCCAGAAATATTAGGCTACTTAGGCCTCATAACGCTGTGGCTTTCTCGATTGAATACAGAATATATAAGTCGATTTTCTTTGTCCAAATTTATTCGTTCAACGTAACAGTAAGCGCGAACTTGATGATAACACAAAAATCTGGAGAGAAAGATCCACTAATTTGTGTCTTGAAGACCGATGCACACGTGTCCTTAGATGCTTTAAGGTGACCAGTTTTCGAGTTTTCAAGGCCGAAGGCCCTTGGGCATGAGTTCCTCATAGCCCTAGCACTCTTCGTCATTACACATGCGCGAACTTCCCTATATCTTCTTCGGTTATAGTGAAAAATTGCAAATGTAGAACGTCTTGAATTGTTTGTTATCATCTAAGTATAGGGATTATTCTTTGTTATGACATACTTAAACGTTTCGGTGAGCATTAAAAGAAGTAAAAAAGCAGAAACTATATGGTTATCGTTAGGATGATGACATCGAGTAATAAAATCTGTTAGGAAACGGAAACCAACAGAAATATGGTGACATCTCCGGGAAGACTCGCTCTAACCAATCACTACTGACAACTCTACTTCTTGCTGTGTTCTTGATACCGAGATTTTCCTTTGTTAAACTATGGTTGCATACAACTTTTAAAATTGAGGCAGTTAGATAAGATACCGGATTGGAATTGCGCTATCAGCGATTCTTAGTGATTTACGGTGTTAAAAACAGTAGAAAACCGAACTGCAACACCGCTGAAAACTGCTGAATACGAGATTAAAAAGGTGTCACTTATACTTCAGGTTCAGATCGCACAAACGTGTGTTGGGTGAAAGAAGGATGCAGGTCTCTCAAACCGGCAGCATGTTCCAGCTTGCCTCTTGAAGCAGTTGAGCAGGTTGTCGACTTTGGCGATTCCGAAAAGTTGAATCTTCACCTCAATAAAGGATGTTACACGGGAGCTAGTGCACTCCAGAATCAACTGAACAATGCCCCAGCCTCCTGCAATGTACCATGCTTCCGCATCAAGAAGCCTGGAAAGTACTGCTACATGGGCACGCGCAATAACAACTTCTCCAACCGACGCCAGATCGGAGTTATCGAAGTTGTCAGTCCCACACCATCTGCTTGATTTAACTTTGCATTCAGATGCGATTAATCCTTGTGAAGTGCGCTGTGTGTATTGCAATATGAACAGCTTTCTCTAAAAGTACTTAATGTGTCCAAGTTGCAAACGTTTGTGAGGTCGACTCCAATCTTTTTTTTTTGCTAGAAGTTTGAGTTCTGCAGAAGGAAATATGACCCGAGGATGCTTAGGATTGCGTCATGTTCTAAGTGTATTCGATGTGCGTCGTATGATTTCTTTTCTTGAGTAAAATAAAATAAAAAAAAAATGGAAAATTTGAGGATAACATCTTTACTGTGGGCCAGATAAACACTGAGCTGATACAAAGGCGTCACACATATCGGCATGCTGTTGATACAAAAGCGCCAATGACAGTTTCCCTGGTGTGTCACATCTCTGAAATCTTTCGGTATAAAGCAAATCTATTCAAGGGTTTACAAACTCCAGAGTTACAATTTCAAACAACCTAAAAAGATTCAAGTTACATTCCGAAGCAGTAGATAACAGATATACTCCTGGCAGCACACCAACACCACATAAGATTTTCTCCAGGCCTCATTTCTTTCCCGTTTCCTGTTTTTCCCATTCTTTTAGCGTAAACATGGTATCGATATTTCTTGTTGGAATCTCTGTCTGCACTGCTTGTCAGAAAACTGTCGTTTTCAATTATCTTACACATGCATACAAAATAGGATTGAATAGGGTGGGTGCCCAACGACCTTTTTCGTATCAATTTCCCCTTTAAATGGAAACCTTGTTTTTAGATTGCATGTTTTCACCTTTACTATGCGGTACATTTTAGATTTCAGGGCGTAAAATTGGAGATAATAGTACAAACAGTGTTCGTTAGGAAAGTTTACGAGAACATACTATATATGACTCAAATCTCTGTTCACCGAGGTGTCAAACCTGGGCTAAAATTACTTATGTACACTAGCTGGCTACGCACTCCATGTGCAGCTAGCTAATTTACATGAATTTTCTTCTGGTGCAAAGCTCGTCCTGTACCGGCTGATTACCCTGTGACTATCACATCTGATGTCTGACGACTGTGGCCAACGATCCTCATCCACAATCTGGGTATTTATTTTCCTCTATTCTCTTGCCACTCTCTGTGCGGCAGAAGAAAGACCTTGAAAATATGAATATATAATATCAAAAAGCAATAAGATTTACTTGTAGCAAGTGCTAGTGTTACCTTTAAGTTAGCCCTTCAAACATTTTTTTTACTAAGAAACGATTGAAAATGTTTGGTAAGTTTCTGCCTCCAGTCAACCCCTCCTCTAAAGCCTCGCGACAAGTAAATGACAAAGTGGTGTGGGCATCTACAAAATTTTAAAGATCTGTATTTTCACAAATGAAATCTGAAAAAAAATGGATGGTTGTTTGCGCAAGATCAAATTACAGAGAAGGAACATATGGCCAAAGATTGTTCTGGCCTTTTTTTTTAAAAAACACAAACTCTTCGACAAAAACTAACCCCTTGTACACTTGAGCCAATAAGCCTGTGTCAGACACTTTGAATTGAAACTATGACTCTGGTTGTCGCTTAAACCTGTCTGGTCACCAACAAAAATGTTTTGCTTACGTCTTATACGTTGAATTAGAGCTGAAAATTTTTCGAAGTGTTACTGTTCGTCAAGATATTTGCACGGGTCATGTTGAATCGAAGACTATCGATAAAACGTGATTCGAAAATCAAAATGAGGCGCTCTAATGGTATGGGCGAGGGGGATTGCACCGTTTTCTTTCACAATTAATAAGTAGTACACCTGTCTTGTCAGCAAGAGGCATTTCAAATTTCAGCAACCGCACTTGGCATGTTCCCCTGAGAATTTTCTAATTGATTTAATAGCCTCAGAAGTAAACATTAGAGTGCCAAGAAGACATGGCTACTCAATGAAATGGTGTTTTGAAAAAGAAAAACTTGATGTTTGACTGGTCTTCGGATCGTGGAGGAAAATGGCCCGCGAGTAATTGATTGGACACGGAATCGTATAATCCTTTTAATTGGTTTTTATTCGATCTACAAAATAATACATAAACTCTGAGCGATCTAACAGGAAGCGTTTCCTGACAATTTCATGCTGGAAAACGAAACGATGATACTAAAATTCCAACTGATTACAAACACACTACTCACTTGTGTGGCGCAATCCAATCAAAACTCCAGTACCAAGAAACAGGTTAGCAAAATTCTCTCAGAACACTTCAGGTAGCGAGGTAGAAAAAAGGCTGATCGCTCTCGAGCGCGTGTTACGGCAAAATGTCACATTAACTTAGAGGTCAGCCTTAAGCGATTACGCAATGGGCTGTAAATCACGTGGTCAATTACTAATTAAATGTCCACAAACGGATTACTAAATTAAAATATTATTGGCTTTTGATCAACGAAACAGTCTTTATGGAACTGGGCGCAGCGCGTAGAAAGAGCGGAATTTCTTCTAGGACGATTACAGTTTACATGGTAATATGCTCGTGGCTCAAATAGAGTTGCCTCTAGATGCAGTTATTCTATTGAGGGCAAAAATATAAAATACTAGGAAATAAGAACCGGGAGAAATACATGCATGTTTGGCCATCAAGTTTTACCAGTTTACTTTTAAAAATGCGTCAGTAGAGATTATTAACAAACCATGAGATTTTAATTAAACTTCTTTCTATCGTTTTTGTTGCAGAGCACTCGGGCATTTCACGTAATGCCTTGTAATCCTGGGTTCCCTCGTTCCTTATTCGCCGTGCAAATTTCTAACTTTGATTTCGCACGAAATGACTTGTAAAACTACTACTTGGCTCAGTGCAACTCAACTCGAGTTGCTTCCGAGACTTAATTCACTTTATGGAGGGCGGAAGAAACACAATGAGGAACCGCTGCGTGTGACATCCTGGCAGAAGAAAAGAAGTGTGTCATTTTCTAAGTGACATATGTCATTTGCTAATGACATGTAAACACTTGTAGATTGTGCGTTGCATAACGAGTTTTGGGGTGTTTCACAAATACTCAACGCTAATTGGTCCACGTAGTATAAAATAAGGCTCTATGATTGGTTAGTACCCAAAGTAACCTCCTTAACTACTAGTATGAGTAGACGATCCAAGGCTTCATAAAAGAAGCATTTCGCTTAAGGACGTATAGGGTTGATACGGATGATATTGCTGTCTATTTAATTTTATTTGTAGTTAGCAAACATATCATGAATATTGAAGACGATTGACACACATCGCTTTTGCAGCATTCATCCATCTCGTACCTTTTAATGGTAGCCTTTCTCGTTTTTTCACTGTGAAAGTAAATTCAAAGGTGACTTGTTTGTGCAGCATACTCCTCGAGTATAGAGGGGGCTCGACTCATTCTTGCCAGTTCATAATGTACTTCCGTGGGTAAGTTACAACATACAAAATAATATTAAAGAAGTTCCAGGGAAAGTTCCCCACATGTTTCACTCGAAACGTAGGCCAGTGCTCGCTACGAATACCAAATTGATCGATGTGTTTACTAACAAATTGATTGATGTGTTCATCTGAAGTATGTCGTCCAACCAGACGAAACTCTGCCGAGTGCTTTAGTACATCAAGTTGTACTCAGTTTCTACATATAGGAACAGAATTATTAAAGTTTAGCACTTTTAAATTGAGTGTAAATAGTTCAGTATTGCATTGGTTATGCTTTACTTCGCTCTCCTAAACCTATCAGATGCAAAACAAATGCGACTTCCTGTATCCCTGACGGTTTTAATATTTGCCCTTGTTTCGATTGACTACTTTTGTTTACGTTTTACAATACTCAACCCGCAGGCGCCCTATATATTCAAAGTCCCTATTCACCCTCAGAGGTTTATATATATTTCGATTCTTTGGATTATCAGGATTAATCTCCGAAAAAAAATTTGCAATTGATTAAATATTTTCTGAGATATGCTGCCCTAAAGTTACTCTTTTGGCCACGCCTTTTTGACTTGGCCGGGAGAGAATTACTGGGCCGAGTGACGTCACAGCAAGAACGAATGTTGACTTCTTGTATAAGAACATGTGTCTATTGCTGTAAAGTGATGTGAAAATGCCGACTCGTTGCGTGGTCGCTGGTTGCTGAAATACACCAGATTCGTCTAAAGGCATATTCAAGTGAATGTAGGCACATCGATCGAAAGACGTTCTTGCTGTGACGTCATGAGGGCTTTTAGTTACCAGTATTAACTTAGCCCGGCCAAGTCAGAAGGGCGTGGCCAAAGGACGAACTTTGAGGCGGCATATCTCGGGAAATATATATTTAATCAATCAAAGGAGATTCGGAGATTCGGGGATTCGGAGATTCGGAGCATGATTCGGAGATTCGGAGATTTGGGAGATTAATCCTGATAACGCAAAGAATCGAAATATATATAAACCTCTGAGGGTGAAAAGGGACTTTAAGGAAACTCAAGGATGAGGAATCATCCGTACCTGAAAAGGTAGATGAGCCGGGAAAATAAGTTGTAGACTCTTAAGCACGTGACGATATGCCTCAATGTAGGCAGTGCTCTCTACCCGCTTGTGCATATCACCTTCTTCAAGTCTCTCATTATCAAATGGCGTGACGAATTGTCTAAAATACCATAAAGGTAATTTTGTCTTCACCCTCCTTGAAGGGTGAAGTGCTCTGTTGCAGACCTGGCTGTGGTATGGGCTGAGACGGCTCAAAGGCTACGTTACAAGTATTACACATAAATTTAACTGATGAGGCAAATATGGTATGATTTCGTTTTTGCTTTGCTTTCTTCTTTCGCGAACGCCTTAGTGATCGATGCAAGCCTCTAATGAGGCCATAGGAAGTATTTCAAAGACTACAAGCTAAAACACTAGACTATAGGATAATAGTGGAATCATAAATCCCTTATTCGATGGTTTAACATCTTAAACGAGTGGGGATTTTTCCCTTTGGTAGTATTTTCGTGGAATAATATATCCCTAATTCGAAGGTTTAACATATTAAACGAGCGGAGATTTTGCCCTTGATCATATTTTCGTGGAATAATAAATCCCTAATTCGATGGTTTAACATATTAAACGAGCGAAGATTTTGTCCCTTGGTCGTTCAAACATGTCTGAAGACAAACCCTCGGGAGCAGGGTTGGCGTAATGGTGAGAGCGCTCGCCTTCCATCAATGTGTCCCGGGTTCGATTCCCGGACCCGGCGTCATAAGTGGATTGAGTTTGTTGGTTCTCTACTCTGCTCCGAGAGGTTTTTCTCCGGGTACTCCGGGTTTCCCGTCTCCTCAAAAACCAACATCA